ATACATGACTGTTTCCATGGCTCTACAGTCCTTTAAGTCCAAAGCTGTGATCCCAACACCATCTTGTTCAGGTGCAACCTCATACTGAAAGGCATACTTATCACAGGAAATAAGGGTTTCCCCTAAGTTCCTGAAGCTCCTTAAAGCTCATTCTTTGTTTATGTGCCCTCAAACAGCTCTGAACATTCCTATGGATTCCTAAGAATCCACAGTCCCCTTCAAGGCTGCATCCTCTAGCCCCAGCTCCCAAAGTTCCTCATAAAAAGCAACCTCTGGCCACTACAGTCCATTAAACAAAGTATATACTGTATACTGAAACCCTTGTGTTGAGAAAAAAAATCAGTGTCTCCTGTTGAGCAGTAACCTCCTGGTCAGCAGGCAACTCTCAGGAGGCTCATGCTCCCTCTTGCCCTAGGCTCTTCTCACATTTGCTTCTGCAGATTGAAGGGGGGGGGGGTCTGCCATTCAGAGTAGCTTATGCTCTAGTGAGTCAGGCACTCTGGAGGTGAGAAGTGAAAATGTTGCATATTTTAAACCTTTTCCACTCCGAGCTAAGCAGGGGTTTGCACACTGCTCTCCCACCTCTGCAGCAAGGCTTCAGCTCCTTGCTGTCTTTCTGCTGCGATGGAGAAGCCCTGTCCTCTGGCTCCACAGCAACAGATGGGCCCGTCGGGGTCCTGTCCTGCAGGGGGCTATTGCCACCCCTCTTCCAGAGAGGGAAGTCAGCTGTTAAGAAGAAAAGAAAGGAGAAACCTTTTTCAGATCCCAGGTGCGCCGTCTGCCGAAGGTAAAGATTCATTCACACCCATACTCCTATGTTGGTCATAATATATTGGTAGTGGTGATAATTGTTTGGCCTGGAGAAAAGAAGGCCCTAGGGAGACCTCATAGTGGTCTTCTGGGATCTGAAGGGGCTACAGGGAAGCTGGAGAGGGACTTTTACAAGGGCACGTAGTAGCGGGACATGGGTAATGGCTTTAAACCGGAAGAGGGGAGGTGTAGGTTAGACACCAGGAATAAATTATTCACTGCGAGGGTGCTGAGATGCTGGCCCAGGTTGCACAGGGAGGCTGTGGCTTCCCCCTCCCGGGAAGTGCTCAGGGCCGGGTTGGACGGGGCTCTGAGCAACCTGGGAGGTGTCCCTGCCCATGCAGGGGGGTTGGAACCAGAGGATCCTTCAGGCCCCTTCCAGCCCAAACCGCTCCATGACTACGTGTTCGCGGGACCCGCTCCCGGGAGCTCCGGGTGTCCCTCCCGTCCCTGGGGCCCCGCTGCTGCTTCGGCCAGGCTCACCGGGTCTCTCCCCACCCACCCAAACTGCGCGGTACCCACCGGTACCGGCGCCGGTGCCGCCGGGACCACCACGGCGGTGCGGCGGGAGGGGGGCGGCGCAGCGGGCGCCTTCCA